ATGTGAACACACACTACTTGTGTGACTCTAGGGTTATCTGTGGAAACGTACCCAAGAACTGCAAGCATCTGTTGCCTCCTGGAAGGGGAATAGGGTGGCTGTGGGACAGGGGAGGGATGAAGCCTTGTCATTTTTCCACTGTATACTTCTCCACACTTTTAACAGTGTACTGTATGTTTTTTGTTTTGTTTTGTTTTTGAAAAGCCACCCGAAAAAAAAAAAAAAAAAGAAAAGCCACCAGAAAAGACCCCTGGGGAAGGTAGATAATCTCTCAGAAGGCAGGTATTCCTACGGACCCACTTTGGCAGAGCAGGTTCAAAGAGGAAGCCATCATTTCTCAACTCAGATATCAATGGGCAGGTTAAGTGTGATGGCGTTGGGACTGCGAGCGCTAGAAGACAGGGCCTGGCATGGAGGGAGACTCTACCAAGCTTGTCAGGTAATCACAGGACAGTGGGAGGATCACCTGGCCAAGTGGTGGACAAGTTACCAAACAGCAGACCAGAGCAAAGTGGGGCGAGGTGGCAGGAGGGAGCCAGTTTATTTTCACTCAACCTTTATTCACTGAAGGCCAGCACCGAGCCAGACACAGAAGATACACACAACGAAGCTCAGCTAACGATCCAGCTCTTCCTACCCACTGCCTCTTGCCTGGTGGCCTTCACTCAGCTACAACCATCACAGGAATCCTTTCAAAGCATAAATCTACCCATCTTACTGTGTGGTTTCAAAGCCTTCTATGGCTTCCCAGTGCCCTTCAAATTGCATTTTGAAATCTGTGCTGAGGCTACACCAAACTTCCTCTACTGCCTCTGAAAGAGCAATGACCTCTTCTTTTTTCTCCAGGCCTCCTTATATATTTATTCCCTCCGCCCAGATCACCCTTCCTTAACTGACATTCCCTCCTTTCAGAGGTTCCCTCCTCCAAGAAGCCTTTCCTAAGAGGTGCCTCCCCTGGCTTCCCTAAACCCCAACCCCTGACTACTGCAGGCTGTCACTGACAGAGGACTCATCTCCGCCACTGGACTGTGAGCCCTGTGAGGGCAGGGGCCAGGTCTGTTGCAGCCACCAAAATGTCCCACCCAGTACTGCACCAAATCCAGGAGTTTGTGGCTGAACCCACAGACCACTTCCCTGGGAGTTCATCTACCTTGCCCCCACCCCGTCCTACACACCCGGCCGGACGGATAAGCTGGAAGGATACATGTGCCTGATCGATCATACACTTGCACAGTGTGAAGTCGGTGTGGGGCAGGTTGGTGAGGGCCTTTAGCAGGATCTGGGCGGTGACCGTAGTTTGAAAGAAGGCTGGGTTGAATTGGTACCTGAGAAGGGTAACAAGAGACAGAGCAAGAGGCCCAGACCTCTTCAGGTCCCCGGGCCTCACCAGATACCCAGTGCTGTGTGGCTCAGAGCTCAGGAATTGGCACGTGCCTGGGCTCCAACCCCGAACACAGCACTCTGGCTCTGTGACCTTAACCTCCCTGACCCACTTTCCTGTTTGTGGATGGGAACAGTTAATCCTCTCAACCATTCTGTAAGGCAGATGCTGTTAAGTGGTCACAAACAAACCAATACCTAAGTATAGTCTAAAGCAGTGGTTGAGGTTCTGGAGCCAGATTGCTTGGGTTCAAACTTCCCTGACAAGTGACCTTGAACTAGTTCTTTTAAATTCTCTGTGCATCAGTCCCCTCCAAGAAGGGACAATAACAACCCTATGTACTTCACAAAGACAGTACATCTGAGTTAATACATACAAAGCTTACAGCGCAGTAGCTACCACACTGTGAGTGCTCATTAAGCAGCAGTTACACCAGTAACAATCTTAACAACCTCACAAATACAAAGTGTTCTTATCTCCCCTTTACAGACACCAAAACTGAGACAATGTATAAAAATTAGCGCTGTGGGGAAAGGATGCAAATGCCCATCAGCAGGAGAAAGGGTAATTAAAACACAGGAAGTACTATACTAAAATGATGACAAATTGCAGCTGCAGGAAAAAATGGATCCATCTCACACCCCTGGTGCTAAGCAGAAGATGCCAGATGCAGAAAAGCTCACGTCACATACTATTTATGTCATATCCATTGCAGGCAAACCTGAGCCAAGCTAATCAGGATGCATGCTTGTGTGGTCAACTCACATGAAGCCAGACCATGAGAGCATAAAAGTGGTTACCAGGGCAGGGGTGGCAGGAAGCACACAAGGCAAAGAGCCTGGGAACCTGACAACACTCAATTTTGTAATAAGTGTGATGTCCACACAGGTTTCCACTTATACTTATTTGGCCATATTTTTGTGTTTTGTACCAACCTATTCGTGCAAACTGCAATTAATTTTTTTTTTTTTTTTTGCAATTAATTTTTTAAAAAACTACCTCTCCTTCTGCCCCAACTCTCTTGGCTTCCTTGTCTTACACACCAAGAGAAGTCACATCCCGAAGACTACCCCCCAACTCTGGCCTCATCCAATGTTGAGAGTGGCACGCTGTGGGCTACGCTGTCACACAGGCAGGGGTGAAGGCAGAGACTCACAGCTTCAGGACAGCCAGGTTGGCTTCCAGATCGTAGGCATTCTCCTTGGCCTGTGTTTCCACATACCGCTCCAGAGTGGCCAGATTCTCAGGATTGTACCTACAGAAGAATCAAGATGGGTGAGCAGAGAAGAAACAGTAGCTGAGGCTGGTCACTCTGGGTAGAGAGGAGAAGGCCACTGTAACCTGCAACTGTATCAAAGTCTTTTTTTTTTTAATTTACTTATTTATTTATTCATTCATTCAGAGAGAGAAAGAGAGAGAGTGAGAGAGAGAGGCAGAGACACAGGCAGAGGGAGAAGCGGGCTCCATGCAGGAAGCCTGATGCGGGACTCGTTCCCGGGTCTCCAGGATCACGCCCTGGGCTACAGGCGGCGCTAACCCGCTGCGCCACCGGGGCTGCCCCTGTATCCAAGTCTTGAATCAGCTCCATAACCTCTAATAACACTTATCCACATGACACACCTAAGCCTGAGTTCTGACCCCCATCAGAGCCCTGGGTCTTTCCCAGATGTCCCCCCCCACATCCCTCCACCAATCAGTAATCACAACCTGTGTACACCAGGCCTCCTGGACATCTCTGCCACTCATCCCCTTCCCCCCTCCTCAGGCCCCCATCCTGGTTTATCCCCATCCTCTCCTGCTCGGCTTCCCCAATCCCAGCCCCGACGATTGCTGGCTATCACTGCCTATTGCCCGGTTAGTATGGACTCTGAACTGGGAACCCCCATGAAAGTATGGCCCGGGGCTGTCTTGGTCACCTCTGGTTCCCCAGCACTGCCCAGCGCTGATGGAATAGATTTCAGTACCGTGTGCTGAAGCAATGGCATGAGAGGTAAGAAAAAAGGAGATGAAAAGGCATGACACACGCAGTGAGAGGCTGAGGAGCAGAGTGCGGAGAAGCAGAGGGAGACCTTAAAGCAATGAAAAAGGCGAGCACTGCGAGGTAGGCAGGGCCGTCTCCTGCCCGTAGGCCCCTGTGGGGCCGTTTCCTCACACTCCTCCTCCAGAAGCGGGAAAGCCTCCCCCGGGCCAAGTTAGGACCCGACCACCCCTTGCGGTCTCTACAAAGTCCCGCCCACCACGCCGCGCGGCCGCAGCGCTCCTCCGGCCGGGCTCAGACCTGTCGATACCCTTGAGCAACTTGCCCACGTTCGCTCTCATCTGCTCAAACATCGCCATGACGAACGTCGCCTCCCACACCCGGGCGGGAGCAGGAGACCCAGCCGGTACGGCGTCCTCGAGGACCGGAAGAGGAAGAGGTGGCGGAAACGGAAACTACGTTTTGTCTTCTCCGCGGCGCCTGCGGCGGCCGCCACGTGACTTTCTTCCCGGCGGGCGCATTTGGCGCGTGCGCACAAGCGCCCCCCGAGCTGGACCGACAGCGTGAGAAAAGGCTTAATGTAGCCCAGTGCGCAGGCGCCGTCTCCGGGCGAGGAGGCGGGGCGAGGCTTTTCCCGGGCCCCGCGCGGCGAGCTCTAGCGCCCGGGACGTGAGCGCGAGCTCGTCCGCGGGGACACGGCTCCCTAACGTCGTGCACGCGGCGTGTTGCGCGCGGTCGTGAACTCACAAAAATGTGCCGATATGCGCGCCGTATCTCTTCGTTTGGGCCCTGGCCAGATTCCCCAGGGAGGTGCTCTCTGAGGTCCCCTTTGCCCCAGGCCTCGGCCTCTTGGGCAAGATCCTGAGCTCTGGAGCCCTGAACCTCTCCCCGACCTCCGCCCCAGCGCCAGGGGTAGGCACCCCGAAAACTGTGGTGCCCTGGCGTGCAGGGGCTGAGGTGAAGGGCTCCTGGACCCTGCCGCAGGGCGCTCAGGCCCCTTTAGGCTCCAGTCTTGCAGAAGGGGAGAGACCCCTGTGTGTGCTCTCATGAGTTACATGTGTACCATTCTGCACACTTTAGGCGTGAATGCACAAGCATGTGTCACATCCGTGGGGGTATGTGCTCTGGGTACAACCGCATGTATGCACACGGGTATCCAGGCATGTGTCCGGCTACTGGTCTGTGCACAGTGGGTACACAGGTGGGTGCTAAGTGTGTACATGTACCCCAGAGAACGGGCACGTACACTGCATGGCCACTCCTGTGCAGGCCTTCCATCTCCGGATGGTGGCCAAACCCTCAAGCACTCAGCAGAGTTTCAACTGTGGTTTTTAGCCACCGCCCAGAGCCCAGAACGCGGGAGGGGGTGCCAGAGCAACCCCCCCAGATCATAAGATAGTTTGCATCTGGTTTACATTCAGCCCCGGGTCCTGGAGGTGGGGGGGGGGTCCCCTGGGTCCCAAGGCAAGCTACCCCTCACAGGCTCTCAGGGCCCAGGGGATAGGGGGTGGAGCCCGCTGCACAGCCCTGTGCTGGGGCAGGAAGCGAGAGTGGGGAGGGGGGAGGCCACAGCCAGCGGAGGCAAGGCTAGGCGGGTGCAGGGCGCAGGACGTGTGGGGAGGGAGGGAGGTGCCACACTCGAGCCCTGAGGCCCTGCTGGCCCCTGGGCGCAGGCCCAGCTCCAGCGCCCAGGGATGGACCTCGTGGACCCCGACATCTTTAATCGAGACCCCCGGGACCACTATGACCTGCTGCAGCGGCTGGGTGGCGGCACCTATGGAGAAGTCTTCAAGGTGAGGACACCCCTCCTTCTTCATCACCCTCAAACCAGGGAGCCATTGGGACCGGGCCCAAGAAAGGAAGGGGATGAGAGAGGATCCCAGTCCCTGGCTTTGGCTCAGGGATGCTGAGGAGGAACTCAGGGGAATGGAGCCTGCCTGACTGCCAACTTCCCCTTTATAAGGCTCGAGACAAGGTGACGGGGGACCTGGTGGCAGTGAAGATGGTGAAGATGGAGCCTGGTGAGGACACAGGAGCTCCTTCCCCTCACCCCTACGCCTCCTCTCCGGACACTGGGATCGCCTCCCCCACACTCCCTTCCCACAGTGGCCTTTTCTTTCCTGTTCCTCCTCACAGACGATGATGTTTCCACACTTCAGAAGGAAATCCTCATCTTGAAAACTTGCCGGCATGCCAACATCGTGGCCTACCATGGGAGTTATCTCTGGTGATGAGCCCCAAACCTCCCAAGGGACCCTGCCCAGCCCCGGTCCAGAACCCCCATTCCTGACCTCCAGTCCTGGAGCCCCATTTTAAACTGGGGCCCCCTGCCCAACTCGATCCCCAGTCTGAAGTCCCAGCTTTCTGACCAGAGTATTCTCTGATGTGATCTGCAATCCAGGACTCCCATTTCTGGGCAGTCCCTTCGTAGTAACCGAACCTGAAAGCAAGTCCCCTAAAACTAATCTTTCCTCATCCTGCCCTTCAGGTCCCCCATTCTACTCTCTGCTCTTTTAATTCCTTAAATCTCTGGACCCCTGAATTAATATCCCAGGTGTCCCAGTAATGGCCTCTGTCCCCCAGACCTGGAACCCTGGGCCCCTTTGCACCCCCTCTACCTGCCCAACCTGGGAGATGTCTCCTCTGTCTTCTGGGTTAGTGCAGGATAGCAGAGTCCAGAGTCCCCCTGGTCAAGAGTCCAAAGACCCGGGTTCGAGTTTGGTTGACCCTGAACATACATTTCCTCTCTGAGCCTCAACTTCCCCACCTGTAAAATGGACATGGTGATCTCACTCTGATGGACAAGGGGAGGAGGATGACAGCTGTTACATTCAAGTCCTTGTTGAACTGGGACAAGACAGATGGTGAGCTGGGGCTGTCCCCCAAGTGATGAGTTCTTACTGCTGTTATCACTACTCTTGAATTGTAGGCTTCAGAAGTTCTGGATATGCATGGAGTTCTGTGGGGCTGGTTCTCTCCAGGACATCTACCAAGGTGAGAGGAAGGCAAGGGGATCCGGATACCTCCCCGCCTCCCATCCACCCCCACTGTCTCTCTGGGGTTGTGTCTTCTTGGAACCGTCTTTCCTGCAACAAGCTTCTCTCTGGGCCCAGGCCTGGCCTGGTTGCTGCTGGGAACACTGTGGTGATGGAGTGGGCCCTGGGCCAGGACTTGATGATCCGGCCCCAATCCCTCTGCACGCAGTGATCCCCTCCCAACTCCCTGTGTCTGCATTTTCTCACCAATGTGTCTGTTCAGGTATTTGAATATCTCTATACTTTGGGCCCATAGGCCGGGTCCCCATTTTCGTTGACCGAGTGAATGAGTGCCTGCCTCTCTCTCTCTCTCTCTTTCTACCTACTTTTTTTTTGAAAAATGTGAGGGTGGGGATGAAGGGGGGCCTCTGATCACCTCTCAGTTTCTGATGGCCACCTCTGCCTTTGACCATCTCTCTGTGTCCTCGAACTCAAGACCTCAGAGGTGAGACCAGGAAGACATTCATTATAAATGAACATGGGGAGAAACTGAGGCCCTCGGAGGAAGTGGCTCACACAGCCAGGCTGCCCGACCTGGTCTCTGACCACTTGTGTGTGTGTGTGTGTGTGTGTGTGTGTGTGTGGTCTCTCCATCGTTCCCCCTCCATCTCTGCGTCTCTGTCTTTCTCAGTTTGTCTTTCTTTGTGCTTTTGGGTCTCAGTTTGAATCTGTTCCCGTTTCTCTCTCTCATTATCTGTGTGTGTGTGTGTGTGTGTGTGTGTCAGTATCTGTGACCCCCAACCTTTCCTCATTTGGCCAAGTCCCATCGCCCCCTGCCCAGAACAGTCCTGTGGCTTCCATTTCCCTCCAAAGACAAGCCCGAGCTCCCCAGTGCGGCCCCCACCTGAACCCCAGCTGACAGACTTCACCTCCTTCCACTTTCTCCCCTACCCCCACTCCACTCCACCCACTTCGCTGCTTTCCAAACCCACCAGGCCGTCTCCACCTCTGGGCCTTTGCACTGGCTCTTCTGTTCCCCTCCAGGCCGGACTCATCACAGCTTCTCGCTGCTGCCTTCTCCGAGTAGAGTAGACTTCACCGACCACCCTATAAAATGTCATACCCCTTCCCACACATATTTCCTGTTGTTGTTTCTTGCTGTTTTAGTTCTTACTATTTATTAGCATCTTATGCCCTCTGCTTTAGTTGTCTTGTTTACCATCTGTTGCCTCGACTGGAATGTTCTCTCCACGAGGGCAGAGATCGCTGTCTCTTGTCCACAGCTACCTCCCCAGTGCCCACAGGAGTGCCTGGCACCCAGTAGACACAGTGAATATCTGTTGAGTGAATCTGTCTCCCTCTGGTCCCCTTCCTTGGTCGCTGACCATCCCTCCATCTCCCCCTTGCACTTGTCCCATCTGTTCCCTGTCCCCGTGTGGCACCTTCTCAGCCTGTGTGGGGGGGAGCCAGGTTGCCTGTTTCCCACCCAACACTACTGCTGTGATCTTTGCAGTGACAGGCCCCCTGTCAGAGCTCCAGATTAGCTATGTCTGCCGGGAAGTGCTCCAGGTGAGGCGAGACCCGGTGGGCCTGGGGCAGGGTCCTGCTCCAGCCCCTGGGGACTCACAGCACCCCATGTCCACCCTCTCCCCTAGGGACTTGCCTATCTGCACTCACAGAAGAAGATACATCGGGACATCAAGGTGGTCTGGGGAAGCAAAGTGGCTTTGTGTGGGGGTGGGCAGGAGGTGGAAGTAGTGTTTGCAGGACTCAGGGTGGTGTTGAGTTGTGGGGTTGGGAAGGGCCAGGGTGTGGAGGCAGCATCAGGCTGGGGGTGTCTCTGACAAGCTTCTGATTTCCCCTTCTTTCTCCAGGGAGCCAACATCCTCATCAATGATGCTGGGGAGGTCAAACTGGGTAAGTGTGATGGGGGTGGGTGGGAGGGGACTGGCTGGGGGCCAAGGGGGTGGGGGCCCCAGGTCACTATATCTCTCTCTGCCTCCAGCTGACTTTGGTATCTCGGCCCAGATTGGGGCAACGCTGGCTCGACGCCTCTCTTTCATCGGGACGCCCTACTGGTGAGGGATGCCCAGCGGGCAGCTAGGGGTGCATGGGGGCAGTGGCCGTCCCCACCTCGGTCACCAGGACTCTCCTTCCCAGCTCCTTTCCCTGTGTCTGCCTCTCTTGAATATTCTGCTCACTTTTTGGCTCTCTCTCGAGTATTACATTTACCGAGGTCTCTTTGTGTTGGTTTTTATTCTGATTTTCTGTCTCTTGACCCCTGCGTGTCTTTTTAAAAAATTTTTATTTATTTATTCATGAGAAATACAGAGAGAGAGGGGCAGAGACACCGGCGGAGGGAGAAGCAGGCTACCTGTGGGGAGCCCAATGCGGGACTCGATCCCCAAACCGGGGATCACACCCTGAGCCAAAGGCAGCTGCTCAACCACGGAGCCACCCAGGCGTCCCCGTGTGTCTGTCTTTATTGCTGTCTCTCTCTTCACCTTGATGTTTCTCTCAGCATCTGGCTTGCTCTCTGTCCCCTCCTCCTCTCTCTCTCTCCCTCCTGCCCCCACCTGCACGCCAAGGAGTCGCCCCCTTCCCCTCCTTGTGTCACCCCCGGCTTGCTGAGGGTCTCTGTCCCCAGGATGGCTCCAGAAGTGGCGGCCGTGGCCTTGAAGGGGGGATACAACGAGCTGTGTGACATCTGGTCCCTGGGCATCACAGCCATTGAACTAGCGGAGCTACAACCGCCGCTCTTTGACGTGCACCCTCTCAGGTAGGCGGGCCTGACGAGCCCCCCCCCCCCCCCCCGCTGGGCCCAGAGACCTGCCCAGCCCTGACCCAGAGCACCCCCTGCCCCCACCTGCTTCCCTCGCTTCAAGGCCCCCTCCAGGAGACACCCTGTCCTCACAGCGAAATCTGAGACCCCCCCTGCAAAGAACCTCTCAACCCAGAAAGCCTTTTCTTCAGGCCCCCCCAGTGGGAACCCCCAAGGCAGGATTCCTGATCTGGAGCCTCCCGTGGAGGTTGCTGCAGCTCTGTTGTGTGGTAAACAGAGCCCCCCAGAAGTGGCATCCCAGGGCCTTGCAAAACCTAAACCTCATTCTTGTTCTGTCCCTTGCTTGGCTCTCTGCTGACCTCAGTGCTACTGGGGACCCCTCAAGCCGCGAGGTCTGACCCCTGTTGGGAGTCTGACCACCACGTTCTCTCCTTACTCTTCTAGAGTTCTCTTCCTCATGACAAAGAGTGGCTACCAGCCCCCCAGGCTAAAAGAAAAAGGCAAATGGTAGGACAGGGCGAGGGAGGGCAGACCCAGGATGGAGGGTCTGCTGGGAGAGTTTCTGGTCTCCTCACCTAGGATTTGGCTTCTTCCTCCCAAGGTCGGCTGCCTTCCACAACTTTGTCAAAGTCACCCTCACTAAGAACCCCAAGAAACGACCCTGTGCCACCAAGATGCTCAGTGTAAACCTCCCCTCCTTTCCGTGAAAGGCCCTTCCCAAACTCCCCGCCCCCTGCCCAGAATTCCCCAAGAACTCCCCAAGACTCTCCAAATTGTACCCCAGACCTTTGGCCAAGATACCCCGAGCTGTTAAAACACAAATTTCCCAGGGTCTCCAGACCCATTCCTGGGTACGCTCTGGAATCCTGGGGAAGCCCCGTCTCCTCTAAGACACCTCAAATTTCTCCATTTGCCCTTGCTGGGAACCCCAGATTCTTCTAATCCGTTCCAACCCCTTAAAATCCCCTAGTTTCCATTCCCCAGAGTTCCCTGCCTCTCCCTCAGTGGGCACCTCCCCCACCAGATCCTCGAGCCCCTGTCCCAGCTTCTCCCCCACACCAGCCCCCTCCTCTCCTCTCTAGCATCAGCTGGTATCCCAGCCCAGGCTACATAGAGGCCTGATCCTAGATCTTCTTGACAAACTGAGGAATCCAGGGAAGGGGGCCTCTGTGGTTGAGATTGAAGATGAGGAGCCTGAGGTGAGGGTGCCCTGGCCGAGAAGGCGGTGGAACCTCACAGCCCCTGCTCAAGCTGTACCCCCCCCCCCCGCCCCGCACCACCTGGAGTGCTTTCCTGCTGCTTCTCTTAAAAGGAAAAAGGGGAGGGGTGTAGGGGGCTTGGCACAGGGCTACGGGCTCCCACTTGGGCCCACAGGGTGGTAGGGGTGCCAGGGGGCCGTGGCCTGATGCCGCTGTCACTCTGCCCAGGTGCCCCCTGCCGTCCCCCGGCGAATCCGGTCCACCCACCGATCCAGCTCTCTAGGGATCCCAGATGCCGATTGCTGTCGTGAGTAGAGATTCCTTAAGCTTGGAGATCCTTGACCATAAACTAGATCCAAGAGACCCACTCCACCCCCAGTGATTCTCCCAGAGACCCTCAGCACCATCTGATCTCACGATAGAGCCCCGAGACCCGCGTCACTTCCACACAGACCCTCAGAGACCCTTGTCACTCACTATCTGACCCTGCAAGAGACTCCAGAAAACCTCATCCTCACGTGAACTTCAAAATGGCTATAGAGGACCCCCCCACTTCTCTGACCTGCAAACAGACCCTGTGAGACTTCCCATAACACCAGGACCCCCAAAGAGATCTCAGAAATCTCTGTCACACCCCCAGGATGGAACCATGAAGACAAACACTATATAACTTTGAGCCCCCACATCCCTGATCCCAAACCCTGACCCCCAGATGAGACCCCTGCAAACCAAGATCCTTCCCCCTGAGGGACAGCCCCGGTCCTAAGATCCTGACCCCGGGCTCCCCAAAGGCTCCTCTTTTCCCAGACCCATTGCCTCTGCTCACTGCGTCACCCTCCTCCCTTCCAGGGCGGCACATGGAGTTCCGGAAGCTCAGAGCAATGGAGTCCAGACCCATAACCCACACGGTGAGGTGCCTCCCTCTGCTGGCCCCAGATGCCCTCCCCTCCCCCTGGGCACTGCTGACCCTTTGCTATCCCGCAGGCCCACTTACAGCCCCCCGGAGACTTCCGGAGCAGCAGTCCCAGGTCAGGGACCCTCGGTGTGGCGGGGAGGGGCCTGGGTTTTGTGGGGGAACCGCCCGATGGTCATGGGTGTCACTCCTCAGGAGGCACCTGTCAGAATCTGACGATGACTACGATGACGTCGACATGTAAGAGAGGCGTGGCCCCCAGCCCCGCTGGCCCTCATCCCCCCCCTTCCTACAACCACCATCCCCTTCCATCCCTACCCCAACCTCAGCTCCTGTTTTCCTTCTGCTGCTCATCCCGGACCCCTGACTAGACCCTACGGCCTCCCCCTTCCCCCTCAACCTTCTTTCACCCCCTCCCTGGCCCAGCCCCTATTATCCCCCCAAGCCAACACCCCGGTTCCATCCTATCTGACCTCCGGACCCCCCCACTGCGTCCCAGGCCCCCCACCACTCCCAGATGTTGCTCGGACCCCCAGACTTCCACTGTACCCCTAACCATCAAAGCCCAGACTTCATCCGCATCTTTCCCCCTGGGAACTTCCCCCACGCCAGACCCTCCACCGGAGACCCCACCTTGGCCCCAGCAGTCAGCCCCACCCCCAGGCCTGCGTCAGCCTCACGCCCACCTGTCGGGTCTACACATCCAGCTGCAGTAGGCTCACAGGCCGTGCCCAGCACCAAGTGAGAACCTGCCCCGCCCTGGGGGAGCCCATGTGACCTGCATCACTAGGTGGCCACGACAGTTCAGGCCCAGTGTATTGTCCACACTTGATATCCAGCACTGCTGTTGCCAGTATCATGAGTGCTCTAATCCTCAGCTCCAGCCCAGACCCAGTCACCCCTGATCCTCTTGACCTCAGACCTCCAGTCCCAAACCATCCCATCTGCCTCCCCGGCCTTGTTACCCACACCCCCCCATGCTCACCCCCTGCCCCTGCTCACCTCATCTTTGTGTTCCAGCCCCACCCCTGCAGAGGACACACCTCCTCCACTGCCTCCCAAGGTAAGGCCCTGGGCCCTACTGGAGCTGGGGGCTGGAGGCCAGGAGGCCAGGGTCCTTAGATGCTGGAATACTGGACACTTTAACCCTGGAATCTGGGACACCAGGTCCCTTGAAGTCTGGGAGACCGGATGATGAGCATGTGGGGATCTGGGAGCAGCCTCCTTGAACCTAGGGGGCGGGATTCAAAGTCTTAGCCAGGTGGGCCTTGGTCTTGGGGACCCCAGCTCTAAGCTATCCAGCATTAATCCTTTAATTGCTGGACTATGATGATGGCCCGGGGGTGCCATCCGGCTGCAGTAGGCTCACAGGCCGTGCCCAGCAGAGGGAGGTCAAGGTTGATGCCTGGAGTGGTAATAGGGCACTGTGGGGAGGGTCAGAACCATGACCAATGTCAGGCCTGGTGGAGGCAGGGCTGGGACTGCTGGGCGCCCTCTCCGAGATCCTCTAACGTACTTTCCTCTGCTGCTCCTCCATCTCCTTAGCCCAAGTTCCGTTCTCCATCAGACGAGGGGCCCACTGGGAGCACTGGGGATGAGGGACAGCTGAGCCCGGGGGTGCTGGTCCGGTGTGCCAGTGGGCCTCCCCCACGAACCCCCCACCTCGGGCTTCCCCCCGCCACCCGAAGCCCCCATCTAACTGCCCATTCAGGTAACAGGGCGGGCTGGGACAGGAGGCAGGCAGGAATGTGGGTGGGTAGGGGAGGGGGGCCTTTGGAGGCTGACTTTCCTTCACCCTGTCTCAGAACCCTCACTCTGGAACCCACCCCCCCGGCAGCCTGATCAGCCCCCACTGTTACCCCCCAAGAAAGTAAAGATGAAGAGAAAGGTGAGCCCGGCTGTGCTGAGGATTCACACCCCTGGGGGGGGGTGGCTGGGATGCCTGGGGCTGGGATGGGCTGTGGGGAGGGGCAGAGCGATAGTGATGAGAGGTGACACTTGGTGAGCAGTGCCTTTGCACCAGACACTGCCTTTATGGGGTGTAAGCCTTCAGGGGGGTAATATCACAGAGATAGACATCATTCCCATGTCACAGATGGGGAGACAGAGGCAGAGAGGGATCCGTAGCTTGCCAAGGTGATAAACCTTTGAGGAAGTGGAGGCAGGGTTTGAGGGCTGGTACTCTTGGGACAGAGTCTTGACCCTGCACCTTCCCATCCCCTCCTTCCTTTCCTTGGATCTGCTGCTCTGCCTCCGGGGCCTGCCCAGGGATGTGCCCTGCTCGTGAAGTTGTTCAATGGCTGCCCGCTCCGGATCCACAGCACGGCTGCCTGGACGCACCCCTCCACCAAGGGTGGGTATTCAGAGGGTCTCCGAGAGCAACGGGGTGGGTGGGCAGGGGCTTTAGTGGAGGCACAGAGGCAGAAACAGGGGAGGGTCTTCATAAGAGGGGGACGGGCAGAGCTGAGGCAGGACCTGAGCCCAGGGTTGGGGTTTGGGGATCATGTACAGGTAGGATGGAGATGAGTATGAGGGTGGAAACTAGGAAAATAAGAGTCTAGGAGCCATGGGTGTCAGATATAACAGAAAGGTCAGAGTTTGAGATCTAAGGTGGGGGCAGTTGCAACCGTCTAACCTCAGTTAGAGGTTAATGGTAGAGAGGCTGGGGTCAGCATTTAGGGTCAGGAGTTTGGGGGTGGGAATGCAGAAAGGGAAGAGTTCGAGGATGAAAGATGTGGAGACAAGGTCAGTGAGGGGTAAATGTTAAAGAAATGGCATCAGGGGTGCCTGGCTGGCTCAGTCGATGGAGCATGCAACCCTTGATCTCAGGGTTATAAATTTGAGCCCCATTGTTGGGTGTAGAGATTACTTGAAAATAAAATCTTTAAAAAATTACTAAAATTTATTTAAAAAAAACAGCATTAGAATGTACAGGGGATGCATTGGACAGAAAAAAACACATTTCAAAGGGCCCAAGTTTGAGGATCCCTGTTGAGACCAGATTAGCATTTGGAGGCCAGAACTGGGAAGACAGATGGACAGAACAGAACGTAGAGGGCTATTTAGGGAAGCGGGACTGATGTTTGGGTCAAAGGTCGTGGGGTGGGACGTCAGGATTTGCAGGATTTGTGGGTGCAAGCCCGAGAGGTAGGTGAGAATGAGACCAGCTCAGGGAACTGGGTCAGGGTTTGAGTTCACATTTGGGGAAACAGGAGCTGGGGATGTCAGTTGTGGGAATAACAGAGGATTGAGGGTCAGGGATGGGGAACAGACTACCAGTGTTTGGGGTCAGTCATGGGGGTCTGGGAGGCCTCCCCCAAGATGACATAGGTCCTAGTGTCCTTGTGTCTGTCCCCACAGACCAGCACCTGCTCCTGGGGGCAGAGGAAGGCATTTTCATCTTGAACCGGAATGATCAAGAGGCCACACTGGAGATGGTGAGACCAGAGCCTGGGGGGGGGGGGCTGGCGTTGGGGGTTCCCAGGGTCTTATGGGAGCCATCTCCTCCATTCTCTGCAGCTCTTCCCTAGCCGGACCACCTGGGTGTATTCCATCAACAATGTCCTCATGTCTCTCTCAGGTCTGGCTGTGGATTGGGTGGGAGGAGTGGGGTCAGAAGTTAAAGGGTTGAGAGTCCGGGGGTTGGGAGATACATGGGCACAGCTGGGGGAGAAAAAAGTAGGCTCCCCCTTTACAGAGCCCACAGTTAAAATCTCAGCCCTCTTTTCGAGGTGGGACTCTATCTGTGTTTCCCTATCTGTAAATGGGGTTCACAATAGTCCCACCTCAAGCCAGTTTTGAGGTAAGATCCACAGTAAGTCTTGACATTTCCTCGATGTATAGATGCCAATGAGAACTTATTCCACACGTTACTGAAATGGGGTTATAAATTAAAATTTTGTGTTGCTGTTTTAGAAACATTTGGTGTAAAAGAACTTCTAATGTATAGGAGAAACACCAAGCAAATGGGCTTCTTGAGTTAGTTATCATGTCTGTGACGACAAATCTTAGGAGAATTTCTCGATAGGTTTCTCCTTAAACTTAGTAACGTGCATAACTTCATCTGACTGGTTAAATGTCCATAGGTTCTCACGTGGCTGAGCAAGCACGGGAAGATAGGGAACATCTTTATCTTACTCATTAATCACCAGAGCCAAGCACAGTGCCTGGCCTACAGCGGGCATTTAAAATACGCTGAATGAGAAATGAACAAATAAAAGTGCTGAGATTTGAAGCCTTGGGAGTTTCAAAGGGATGGGGCCAAGTGAAGGGCCAGGGAAAGGTGGGAGTGTCTGGTGTCCTATAACTGCCTGCTTCCCCCTACACACACACACACTGCAGGAAAGACCCCCCACCTGTATTCTCATAGCATCCTGGGCCTGCTGGAACGGAAGGAGACCAGAGCAGGAAGCCCCATCGCTCACATTAGCCCCCACCGGCTACTGGCAAGGTACCAGCCCCCAGGGGCACCACAGACCCCTGTAATCCCCCCTTCCTGCCGTCCCTCTGCATTTACGCACCTACTTTCTTCTGCAGGAAGAACATGGTCTCCACCAAGATCCAGGACACCAAAGGGTGCCGAGCTTGCTGCGTGGGTGAGAGAGATTCCCTACTGGTGGACCTGAAGGGGGGAGGGTGTGCTGGGCCGGGGGCAGGCTCAGGCTGCATTGACTGGAGAGGGTGGTGGGGTTAAGGCAGGCTGTCCAGAGTCTGGGGAAAGATGTGTGCCCTTTGTGGGGGGGAGGAGCGGGTCGGGGAAGGGGAGAGAGGACTGACCCTAACCCATCTCTACCTACCCCCACAGCGGAGGGTGCGAGCTCAGGGGGCCCATTCCTGTGCGGGGCATTGGAGACGTCCGTGGTCCTGCTTCAGTGGTACCAGCCCATGAACAAGTTCCTGCTGGTCCGGGTAGGGGGTCTGTAGAGACTGGGGATTCTGAGGTTCAGTGGCCAGGGGCTTGCACTCCTTACTACGCTTCTGCTGAGAGCTTCGGGGAGCCCGGCTTCCACCCGAGGCCCCGCCCACCTGCGGCAGGTGCCCGGAGGCTCCCCCTCCTGAGGGCTTCTGGAGCCTTAAACTCCTCCTCTCACCCAGCCTAATTATTTTGCAGGCCCTACGTCCCACCCCCATCCCACCCCCGGGTCTCCAAGGAGACCCCACTCAGACCCTTTGAGTCTAAGGAGACTTTGTTGCCTTTAAAGCTACGCCTCATTAAGGGGGCACGACCCCAACAGAAGCCACGCCAACTCTCATTGCTAAGGAGGCATCACCGCACTCCTCTGGGCTCTCACCCCCTGAAGTTTCTAGACCGTATCCCCCCAAACCGAGGGCCCCGGGGGGGGGGGGGAATACTCGCGAAGACCCCTGCGGGCTCTCCCCCTTCAAGCCCCGCCCCCTCGGGCCCCGCCCACCCAGGCCACGCCCCCTCCCCCTGAGCCCGCCCCTCTCCGTGCGGCCTGCAGCAGGTGCTGTTCCCGCTGCCGACGCCCCTTCCGGTGTTCGCGCTGCTGACCGGGCCAGGCTCCGAGCTGCCCGCCGTCTGCATCGGCGTGAGCCCCGGGCAGCCGGCGAAGTCCGTGCTCTTCCACACCGTGCGCTTCGGCGCGCTCTCCTGCTGGCTGGGCGAGATGAGCACAGGTGAGGGGGCGGGGCTGGCGGCGGGGCGGGGCTCTAGCCTGCGGTGTGATTGCTTGAAGGGGGTTGAACCCGGGGCGGGGGCAGAGGTGGAATTTATACACCTGCTGAGATAGTGTCCGCGGTGATAGGCGGCTTTGGCCCGCGGGCTGGGGAGTGGAGAGGGCGCCTAGCGGAGGAAGGCAGGATCGGCGGGATTGGCTTTCGAACCTCCCTCCTCTTGTCAAATAGAGCACAGGGGACCCGTACAGGTGACCCAGGTGGAGGAAGACAAGGTGATGGTGTTGATGGACGGTAAGGACCCCCCTTTCCTCCACTGTTCCGGGATTTCTGCCTCGCAGACCCTGTGCTGCTCAGAAATGCTGAACCCCTCCAGGCCGTGCCGGGGTCCTGCTTTGCTTCCCAATGAATTTATTCTCCATCCTTCTGACCCTCACTCTTTTTTTTTTTTTAAGAATTTATTTTATTCATTATAGGCATAGGGGGAGAAAGAGGCAGAGACACAGGCAGAGGAGAAGCAGGCTTCATGCAGGGAGCCTGATGTGGGACTTGATCCCGGGACTCCAGGATCGCGCCCTGGGCCAAAGGCAGGCGCTAAACCGCTGAGCCACCCAGGGATCCCCTCTGACCCTCACTCTTAAAGCCCTCTCTCGGGGTGCCCGAGGGGCTCAGTCATTAAATGTCTGCCTTCGGCTCAGGTCATGATCCTGGGGTTGTGGGATCAAGCCCCACATCAGGCTCCCTGCTCAGCGGGGAGTCTACTTCTCTCTCTCCCTCCCTGCCGCTCTGCCTGCATGTGCGCTCTATTTCTCTCAAATAAATAAATAAAATCTTTTTAAAAAACAACAAAAGTTGGGCAGCCCGGGTAGCTCAGCAGTTTAGCGCCACCTTCGGCCCAGGGCATGATCCTGGGGACCCTGGATCAAGTCCCACGTCGGGCTCCCTGCATGGAGCCTGCTCCTCCCTCTGCCTGTGTCTCTGCCTCTCTCTTTCTCTGCGTGTGTGTCAAAAATAAATAAAAAATCTTTAAAAAATAAAAAACACTAAAAAACAACAAATCTCTCCCCCCCCTCTCTTTCTCCTCTTTTAGGATCTTTGAAGCTGGTGACCCCAGAGGGAGCCCCAGTCCCAGGGCTTCGAACTCCGGAGATCCCCATGACTGAAGCGGTGGAAGCCGTGGGTATGTGCAGGGCTGGGAGGCCCCCCTGCCCAGAGGGGAGGCTTAGTGATACCCAAGGGTAATGGGCACTGCTTTCCTCCCAGCTATGGTCGGGGGTAGGCTCCAGGCCTTTTGGAAGCACGGAGTACAGGTGTGGGCTCCAGGCTCAGACCAGGTAAGCTTCTCCATCTGACCACCCCCAACCCTGCCCCTCCCCTGTGGGTCTTCTGGTTCCGCAGATGGAGCAGAAGTATTGAGTCAGGGTGTGGAGCCCTGACAAGAAGCTTCCTCTAGTCTCAGTTCAGACAGGTCCTCTTCTTTTTAATTTTTTTTTTTGTATTTTTTAAAGATTTTATTTATTTGAGAGAGAGAGCAAGTGCATGATCCAGGGGAGGAGCAGAGAGAGAGGGAGGTGCAGACTCCCCACTGAGCAGGGAGCCCTACATGGGGCTCAATCCCAGGACCCCAGGATTATGACCTGACCAAAGGCAGACATTTAACCCACTGAGCCACCCATGTGTCCTTGGCCAGGTCCTCGTCTATACCCCAGGGTCTCTTGGGTCCAGAGGTCATTACAGGCCACTGTGTGATCTTGTGCAAGAGATTTTGCTTCTCTCTGAGCCTCAGTCTCCAACTATCAAAGGTGGGGGGGCGTCACTAAAGAGCTACGTGGGTGGTTAAGAGCATGCACAGACTGCCTGGGTTGGAATCTGGCTGATTGACCTTAAGCAAATGACTTAACTTTCCCATGCCTTACTTTCCTCATCTGGAAAATGGAGTGAAAAATGCTCCTTAGCTCATAGAACACTATGTTTCAGATGATGCCCCTATATGTTTGTATTTTATTTAATCTCCACAATCACCTATCAGGAAGGTCCTGTGACTTCACAGGTTAGTAATCCGAGGCACAGAGAAGTAACTTGCTTGGGGTCACACAGCTGGTGGATGATGTTAGCAAGAAGGATTATTTCTGGACCTAAGACTAGAAGTTCAGAGACCCCCCCTCTCCACCCCATTCTCTTTAAGGGAGAGGGGAAGAGTCTTCTAGATACTGACACACACACCTTTTCCCCAGCTGTTGCAGGAGCTGAGAGACCCTACCCTCACCTTCCGTCTGCTTGGCTCCCCCAGGTATGGACGTGGGGAAGGGAACACAGAGCCTGGGAGGGGGGCTTCTGATGTGGAGAGGTGTCTTGCGATGTCTCCAGCCACCTGTATCTTTGGCCTGGACATTCTCTCTCCTGGTCTCCCTGCTTCTATCTCTGCCCCTTGTAGTCTATTCTCCACAGTGCAGCCAAGGGGACATTTTTGTTTCTTAATTTTTATTTTCACTTTTTATTTTGGCATAACTTTTGACTCACAGAGAAGGTGCAAGAATAAATGTAAAAATTCTTAAATCTTTGTATCCCCTTCATTCATCCAGATTCCCCAGATATTAACATTTTGACTGTTTTGGGGGTATTTTGTGTGTTTGTTTTTGCCATGTTTGATTTGTCTTCCTCTTTCATATGTATATGATTTTTTCCTGACCATTTGGGTGTGAAACAAAGACCTACTCCTGCAGACCACAACACAGCTGTCAAAATTAAGAAAATGGCACTAAGACTTCTCACTGCCTTCTAATCCACACACCCAAGTCTCACCAGTTGGCCCAATGATACTCTTTATAACCAAAAAACAGTACTTTTTTGGGGGGTCCAGTAGTCAATCCAGGATGATGGGATGCATGTAGGGTCAGGTTTCTTTAATCTTTAACCTGGAACAATTCTTCAGGCTTTCTTTGGTTTTCAGGACCTTGATACTTTTGAGGAGTACAGGAAACTTGTTTTCCAGAATATTCCTCAGTTGGGTTTGAGGTTTGAGGTTAAGCATTCGGGGTAGGAATACTCCCAGAAGTGATGGCTTGTCTTTCTCAGTGCATCCTATCAACACATGTCTGTTTGTCCCATTATGGGTGATGTTCTCTTTGAGCATTGGGTAGGGTGCAGGTTTTACAGCGGAGAAACCTGCTGTAAAGCTACTCTTTGTATTAATAAGTATCTTTTGGGGTGATTTGTTGTGAATGTGTAAATATACTCTTTCTCATCAGACTTTCACCCACTGGTTTTAGCATCTATTAATGATTTCTGCCTGAATATATTATGAGGAGAGTTACTAAATGGTGAATTTCTATTTCTGCACTTATTAGTTGGCATGCTCCTGTGGAGGAGCTTGTCCCTTCTCCGCAGTGTGTGTGTGTGTGTGTGTGTGTGTGTGTGTGTGTAATTTCAGCACAGCCTTATGGATTTCCATTTTATTCTGGGTGTTTAAATCTATTACTACCATTCTTTACTTTGAGATGCAAGAACTCCCACATTTAACCAGTGAGAGCCCCTTCAGGGATCTCTCATGACCTCTTGACATGCCAGAGAGGTCTTTTAAAATCTAAGTCCCATTATGTCATTCACCCTCCCAACCCCCATTTAAAACTACTGTGGCCTCAAGATAAATACCCAGTCCTGGCCACAGCGCACAAGACTTTGACTTCTGCAACCAAGTCCCAAACTCTCTCCCACCTCAAGGCCTTTCCCTAGGCTGTTCTTTGCCCAGAACACCCTTCTCTGACCTTTCACCAAGTTCCCTCCTGAGCCTCTTGGAGGCTCCACCGTCTATTCTTTGGGCCACCTTGGCTGACCCTTCAGGATAGGTTTCCATGCAGTACGCCCCATGCTGTTTTGCAGTCCTGTAATTCACTAATTCATGTTGGTCTCCCATTCTAGATTGAGCTCCTCAAGGGCAGAGACCCTGTCTGCTCATTACCGTGATAGCCCAGCACTGTGCTGGCACAGCCTCTGTTAACTCCTTTGTGAATGAATGAATGAATGAATGAACAGATGAATGAATGAACTGACTTCTCTCCTCCTTTCCCAGGCCTGTGGTGGTGGAGACACGCCCAGCAGATGATCCTACTGCCCCCAGCAACCTCTACATCCAGGAATGAGCCCAGGATGGGAAGGGGTGGCGGTGTCAGGAACTGGTCCCGCAGTCCCATCCCCAACAGACATACACATTAGTGGTCATGACATGAACTTGTCTTCCAATAAACATGACTCCAGCCTCTGCTGTCATCTTGTCTTCTGGACAGGGAAAGGGGAGGGCAGAGTTCCCGGAGGCCCACCCACACCCCAAATATCAAGAATCCAACACAATGATGTCAGGGGTATAGCACAGACTTTTATTTCTCCAGTACATGGTCACCTGTCCCCCAGCTGCCTTTGGGGGCGGGTTTGGGGGCTAAGGGACTTGGAAGAGTAAGGCACTTGAGGTGGGGGTGAAGGGCCAGCTGGGCGTGTCTCAGCTAAGCTGGTCCTCGTACTGCTTGCGGAAACAATCGCCAGCTGGGAAGAAGTCCCAACATCTCTCTTGGTACATCTTCCAGACATAAGACTCCTAGGGTTGGGGCGTGGGGAAGAATGGTCACATCCTCCAACGCTCATGCTGACGCGAGCTTTTTACTGCCACCTGCTGCTTGACCTTAAATTTAAACTCTCCAGGACCCTGCCCACTGTCCTCCCATTAACACCCCGTTACCTGGCCCGTGTGTTCCGTCTCGTCCTTATTTATCAGATACATCAGGAAAAACCTGGGGATGGGAGAGCGGCGGAGATAGGTCAGGACTACCCTACTCCTTCTGATTGGCCGGCTGGGAATCCACCCACCTGGAGACCACACACCTAACTGGCCAAGGCTCAGTGCCACGCCCCTCGCGGTCGGCGGCCACGCCCCCACCCCCTGATTGGCCAGCGGGCCCACGCTCACATGTAATTGGCCAGGTTGTGCTCCTCTAGCGTGTGGGTCTCGAACCCGTGCGGCGTCGTATCGAAGTAATCGCTGCCGATGCCGCAGATGAAGCACTTGGTCTGTGGGTGGCGGGGGACATCAGAATCCAGGCCCATTCACACCCTACCCCCCACGATCCCGAATTCCCTCGGGGTCGCCCCCAGACTTGACCTACCTCCATATCTTCCTTCACTTGCTCTTGTTGGTCTCGGAGCTCGCCAAAAGCGTCAATGATCAGACCTGTGGTGGCAGGTGCAAGTCAGCGCCCACCCTCTGACCCAGCTCAGACTCCTCCCTCTTCCGGCTACCTCCCTCTGAGCCTTGCCTCCCGTCCCCATCTCCCCCATCTCACCTTGCTTCCCAGAGATAATAACACTTAGCCTTTATTGATATTGAGCACCTGCTATGAGCAAAACACCTAGGAAGTGACTTACTTCTCACCATAACCCTGCGAGGTTTTAGGATCGTTAATTTCCTCATTTGCAGATGGAGAAACTGAGACCCAGAGAGGTCACTTGCCTCAAGTCTCACAGTAGGAAGAGACAGAGCCAGGATATGAGTCCAGGCAGTCTGCACTCTTAAAAGGAGCTAGTGTGCCTCTGGGCACTGGGCCCCCCACTCTCACAGCCGTGACCAGCACTGACCCTGAATGATGGCCAGCAGGATGACGATGACGAAGAAGAAGAAGGTGATGTCGAAGACCACCCGGTACAGCTCATATTCATCGCCCGCTGGGTCCTCAATCTCATCCCCGATGCCGCCACCAGCTCGGACACCCACGTACATGTGGAACAGGTAACACTGTGGGGGGGGGTGAGAAGCATACTGGTCATGCGCTCTGTGACTCGACATTCACCGAGCAGGGGACAGGGGACATAGCAATGGACTGAGACGGCTCTGCGCCCCGCCCTCTCAGGGTTCACGAACACGGCATCAGATAGTGACAGCCCAGAAATGATCACGGCTGTGATAGGGAGAACACAGGCAGAGGGACAGAGCCAGGGTGGGGGAAGCGCAGGAAGCTCTGAAGCTTTGAAGGCCTGCCTCAGTCAGGGGGACCAGGCAAGATTTCCCTAGAAGAGGGGACACGTGGGAGCTGGAACTTGAAGGAGGTGTTAGGTGGGAGAAAGTGTTCCAGGCAGAGGAAACCACATGTGTTCTGTCACCACTGGGGAGCGAAGAAGACATTTTGCTCCCGGGAGGAACTGAAAGAGCTTCAGCGAGGCTAGAAATGAGAGCTCCTGTGAGCAAGAGCAGGGAGAAAAATGAGGCCCGCCAATGGTCAGGGAGGGCTTTCTGTAGGAGGCAGCACTGGAGTTGAAAGGTGACGTGTCAATGAAAGAGAGGCGTGGACCTGGGGCCTGTGGTGGCGGAGGGAGAGAATGTCAGATGCAAAGGGCCTGGGTGGGAGGAAACACATGGTCTTAGGGGAACCGAAAGAAGACGGGCAGCCAGAGAGCAGAAAGCAAGAGAGCCTGTGGTTAGACTCAGGCAAAGCTGGCTGTTCCCTGGCCTTGTGAGCCACAGTGAGGGATTCGATTTTATCACACAGCACTGGAGAGGTACGAGAAGGTTCTGAGCAGGGACGGGGGCAAGATCTTCCTGGCCTTTGGGAAAGACTTTATGCTTATTCTCTCTGCATCCCCAGGAAGAGAGAGGACCCCTCGTCTTGGTTAAGAGCCCAGGCTGGTGACTGGTGGGAACAGGGCTATGCGGGGCAAGACTAGGTCTGGCGGGGCCTCAGATGTCACGCTGAGGAGCTGAACTGGGTCCTGAGAATATGGCACCAGGGTACCGGACATCTCGTGAGATCGCCCAGAGATAATTCTTCTCCACTGTGACCTATGCCTCCAGTTGAGCCAGCTCCATCTGGGTTAGGACCACCACGGTCGGAGTAAAAGAGAAAGTGTAAACAAGCATGGCATGCTGATACTTTGGGTGAAATTCATATATATATGTATATATATATATTTTTTTAAGTAATCTCTATCCTTGATGTGGGACTTTGGACTTACAGCCCTGAGATCAAGAGTTGCATACTTGCTCTACCTACTGAGCCCACGGGGCACCCCTGGGTGAAACTTTTATAGCTAACGATGAGAGCAGCTACACCTATGCAATCTGAATTCATGCCAGTATCATTTTATGACTTTTAAAGGAGCTCCACTGAGTCCTAAAACCTGCTGTAGGCTGTAGGCACTGTTATTACACAGCCATTTTGCAGGGCAAGACACCAGAGCACCGGGAGGTTGAGAGGACCACCCAAGGTCTCATGGCACGTGAGTGACAGGTGCGCCATGCCTGAGCACCTTCCCATAATAGTTTCATACCAGCTTTAAAGGCTCAAGTAGCATCCCAGCGGCGGCTGACGCTTACTGAGCACTGGTTAGGAGCCTGGCGCTCTTCAAAGTCCCTCATGAATCTCAGCTCGCGGAACCCTCACGATAAGTCTACGGGGTGGGTACCACCATTAACCCCCTTTACAGATGGGAGCACTGAGGGTCGGATGGTCAGTGACCGGCCCGAGAGTGCCCAGGGAGGGGCTCACCGTCATCATGTCATCACACTTCATGTCGGGCTCGTCCTCGTCCTCGCTCTTGTTGTAGAACTTGCGGAAGAAGTTGAAGGCCACCACGGTGTACAGGTAGACCACCACCGCCAGGAGGCCCACGGTCATCACCAGCTGGGGGGCGCGCACAGCCGTCAGCTCCGTGCTGGGCCTCCCCGGCCCTCACCGTCAGTGTGGCCCTCCCTCCAGGGTCTCACGACCCACACCCACCCTGGCTCAGCCCGCCCAGCCTCGCCCCTCCTCGAGGGACCTGCCCAACCCTCCCCCCCGCCCCCCGCTCAGACCACCGGCTCCTCCCTGCCAGGCTCACAGCCCATAGTCAGGTCCTCTCCACACCTGCTTCCCGTTATGGGTGACGGAGGAGAGGATGGTGCGCAGCGTCTTAACCCCCATGGCAATGTCCAGGAGGTGGGCAGCAAAGAAGAAGTTGTTGTAGTGTCCCAGGAGGGACATCACCATGTACCAGCCCAGGTATAGGAAAGACTGTGGGCACACAGGGTCAGGGGTCAGGGAGCGGACTCATGGGGGAGCACTCAGGGTTCAGGGAGGGTTCATGAAGGTCAAGGAGCATTTGGGGGGTTAGGGAGCACTCTGGGGACACGGGTCCAGCGCTCTGGGGTCGGGGTGCCATCTGAGTAGGGGATCAGGAGCACTTGCAGTAATGGAGCACTCTGGGGGCGAAGCCATCCTGGGGTAGCTGGGGAACCCTCTGCTGAAGGACACGGTCTGAGAATTTAAGAGCACCTGAGGGACAGGGGGCTTTGGGGGGCAGCAGGTCTCATAGGACCAGGGGTGCACAGGGGCTCAGGAGTCAGTCCCTGGTCAGAGACACCTGGGAGTGGAGCCCTCAGCCCCCCGAAGGCCCTTCTCCTGCAGGTCCTCCCCCACCAATGGGCCCCTTCTCACGTTGTCTGTGAAGATGACCCCGAACTTCCAGATCTGGTACTTGACGTCAATGGACATGAGCCTGTGTGGGGTGGGAGGAAGGGGATGCCTGAGGCTCAGGCCCTGGCCACCTTCCCTGGCCACCCCGGGGCTGTGCAGGGCAGTCCCTGACTCACCAGGTGAGCAGCCCGGGGGGTGGTTCAGGCTTACGCTCGTTGTGGGCCGTGATCTCCAGCGTGGCCAGATCCATGCCCAGCAGCTCGGCGATCCGCTCCCGCCCGTAGATGTCGCCGTGCTTGTCCAGGACCTGCACAGGGGAGCATGTGGCCGTGGGGATGCAGCTGGAGTGGGGGAGGGCCCCAGCCTCCATGGGTGGGGGTTCTGGAGACACTCTCAACTTGGTGTGAGAAATTAGGGGTGCATTTTTTCCTGGAAAGAAGGGCCAGTTTTCTTCAGATCCTCAGGGGGAGGGTCCAAACGTGATAAGGTTTCAGTTGATTCATTGGCCACATTAATAGGGATAATTTATTATTATTAGATTGGTAGTCGAGGAACCCTCTATAATCGGGCCTCTGTCATCTGTGAACTTTTCCCACTCACCTCCCTCATTCACTCTGCTTCCGCCACACAGACCCGCAGACCTCCTCACAGTTCCTCAAATATACCAGACATTTCTGTCTCAGGGGGTTTGCACTGGCTGTTCCCCCTGCCTAGGACACTTACCCCAGATTTCTTTCTTTTTTAAAAAAATATTTTTATTTATTTATTCATGAGAGGCACAGAGAGAGGGGAAGAGACACAGGCAGAGGGAGAAGCAGGCTCCATG